AAAAACAAAATTTTTACTGGAATATTTGATTTCTAAGTTGAGTTATTGCATGTGAAATATATCAAAAGCTGTGCTTGAAAGATGACAACCAGTGTTGAATTCTGCACCAAGAGATAATAGATTGATTTAACTCATTCTTCCTACCTGCCAACTCCTACCCTCACCCCACTCTGAAAAAAAAACCCACACAACCCCAAACAAAAACAGTTACATCATATAGAAGTGGCAGTATCATTATTTATGGATGGGAGATGTCAGGATTTAAGCACAGTCTAAATCAGAGCTGCATGATTTAACCCAAAACGCCAGAAACAGTCCTGGTGAAAAATTACTCCTTATCCAAACAAAAATCATGGACCATTTCCACCATGGTTTTTAAAGGTCAAAATAGAAATGAGTGAATTTGTCTTCTGATTCTTGCAAAATATACAAGACCTCAAGAGTTGTTGTTTAGATTTTGGGTGCCTGAGATAACTTTAGTTTTAATGTGAATGTGTCCCTTCAATTTGAAGGTGTTCATGTAACAGATTAACTACAATTCAAGGTAAGGAGAAAGGAAATAGAATAAATGTTTGGACAATACTATGAGAGAAGAGTGTTAGGAGTAATCTTTGGGCTAAAAGCAAAAGAAGTCATTGAAGCAACTCCATAGTGACTTTGACTTATATCATGTGGCTTTAAGAAAATACAAAGAATAATAAGTTGAATCATCAAAATACTGATTTTTCACAAACTTTACCAACAGGAGGTATAAGCAGAGTTCTTTTGGTAATAACCTGCCATCTTTCCCTGAGCACCCACACTTATTGCTTCTTCTGAACAAGATGGCTGCCCAAGAAAGGTAGATAAAGTAGACAATCTATGTTCACAGTACAGTGAAGTGCAATGGCTTTATGTGGCACTTGGCCTGTAACTCATGTGGGTTTTGATTCCAGTAACAGCAACCCCTGTGGTAAGATCACACAGCCTCAAATCTTTTTTTTAATCTGTTAGTGAGTAATTTAACACATGTACTTCTTTTCACTGTTGGAACAAACAGTTTTACATTGTACTGACACTGGAGCCACTTTGAAAGTAAGACTTAGTTGTGGTTGAGTTCAAAGTTAGTTTGGAAGAATGATCGAGGCAGTGAGTATTGATGTTACTCAGTCCACTAAGAAGGGCCCAGGAGCCTTCTTAGATATCAAGGAATCACATCAACTTTGCTTGGAGCACTCCTCCCTCAGATGCCTGCAACGTTTGCCCTTTCACTGCCTTCAAGTCTTTGCTCCACACAGCCAATTTTCAGTAGCTCAAGGCTTTCCTTTGAGAACCTTAATAAAAATTGCAAACTCCTTCCCCACCTCTTCCCAGCATTTATCACCTTTCCTCTTTTTTCTCCATAGTCTAACATACTGTTTAACATAATAATTGTTTGCTTCTGCCCATTAGAATGCAAGCAGAGAGTTACACCACTTTTGTTTACTACAATGTCCCTAGGGTATAGATAGGCCAACTGCACATGGTAGATACTCAGTATACAAATGCTCCTCAACTTATAAGTTGAAAATATCATTAAGCCGAAAATGCACTTAATACACCAAACTTACTGAACATCATAGCTTAGCCTAGACTACCTTAAACATGCTTAGAATGCAATATCCAAAAAACGCTGGCAACACGGTACACGGTAGAGTATCAGTTATTTACCTTTGTGATCACATGGCTGAATGCAGCTTGCTGCTGCTGACCAGCATCACAAGAGATATGCCACATATCGCTAGCCTGGGAAAACATCAAAATTCAAGGTACGGTTTCTACTGAATGCATATCACTTTCATATCATCTTAAAGTAAAAATTTAAAAAATTATAAGTCAGACCATTGTTAACTGGGGTCCTTCTGTGTGTTGAATAAACGAATAATTGTGCTGATGGTGTTTAGGGCGCTTATGCAAACCACATTCCTGGTTGCCATTAGTGCTTGACCTTGGGATGTCATAGATAAATCCTGCTGATATTGCTTCTAAATTCTTTAGGACCTAAAAGTGATTTCCCTGTCAAAAACAAGCTGCATTTATAGGCTCTGTTTTCCTCATGTTGGGCAGTTGAGCTAGTTCTGGCTCTCAGTAAGCATGTTTGTGGTCGCAGAGGAAAATGAATATTTCTCACCCAAATGTTGTCATGTCATCATCTCTGTCTAGCAACCAGAGAAGCAGATGTTCTGTTCCTTGACCTCAGGCTAGTGGTTCTAGTTGGGTGTTAAATACATTTCACAAAACTGGATTTGCACATGCAAGGCTGCTGTTTTCGTTTACCTTTTATATAGTCTTAAGAGCTCAGCAAGTTTAGCAACGGTCCAGTTCGAGGGCGCTGGAAGTATGCTTATCTGTATGTGTGGTATGTGTGCGTATACTCACATACATGTAGATCCATGCATTTATATGTTTAACTAGCTATTGCAAAACACATGTTTATTTTGAGGTCAGCATTTCTAAACATGATGAAAAGTAGCCCTATGGACATTGCCAAGAACAAATTTTCCTCTTTCCAGAAAGCGGTTTTCAACACATAATTTTTAGAAACAGAATTCAAAAGAATTATACTGCTATATTCTAGCAAAGATGATTATTCATTTATTTTTTATTTAAAAACAACATACCACTCTGGGCCAGGCACAGGGATGAATATAGCATTTGGGTTTTCCAGACAGCTTGGTTGTTGGGAATGTCTGACGTGACCACAGTGGAGCAGGAAAGCCCAGAACAGTATAAA